AACATTACCACGCACTCGTTGTTGCTGTTTGGACTGGAGTCCTGTTTAGTGCGAAGCGAGAGCTGCAGAAGATTGATATTGTTTGACCATTCATGCTTGTGAAGTATTGCTCACCTACGGTGAGTGGACCGAATTAATAGTCTGAGTTTGACAAAAAAAACCCTAACTCCCCACAGCAGGGTGTCTGTTTATTTTTAATGGTCCGCATTTGCTATTTAATGTTTTCTCCGCACCTGTCTCAGTCTGTACTGCTCAATCAAATTTGCACTGATTTCGGTGAAAGCACGCTGCGACTAGTTGTTGGCATTGCAATGTAAAGAAGCTGAGTTGGGCTGTTCACTGCCGAATTCGGTCATTGTGACTTCGGACTTGCTATCACATCAGTGCTGATAATTCGTGTCCGGTATGGCACATCGCGACATCAGTGATGTTCCCTTTCATTCCATTGCTTCTGCTTTTTCACTCTTGATGATGTTTTGGCCTTCTTGAATTGAATTTCTTTCTCCTTTATTAATTTTCGAGCTGTTTTCCGTAGCGCTCCGCGCCAACACAACCGCGTTTGCCTCATCTCGGTGCACAGACCGATGATCGAACTCCGCTTGGCGGTCGATCAATTTTTCTGGATTTGTATGCAGACCATCGGGACCAGTTGTGTTTACTTCCTACTTAATTAATCAATCACGTTGCACGTACATGACTAATGTTAAAAAGCATTCAAATGCTTCTGTTGAAAACACTTCTATTTACCTTTTTGAACATCCCCTCTTGTGTTCGTGTTGCGTTTCAGAGCCAAACGACGAAAGTGCCGCGAACGTAGACGCAGCCAAGACGTGGCGAGAGGACAAGCGCCGTTTCAACAAGCTCGCTTTGAGAAGTGTCCGTCTCAGTCTAGGCTTACCGGCTGAATAAACGCCTGACGTGTGCATCTCAATCAATTGTTACTCATTGTACAAAGCCTAATTTGCGATCTAGTTCGGATGTCCATAAATTGCCCTCTGGGTTACCCACTCACCTTTTGGGTTCTCCACTGCTTCTTTCTACCATCCTTCGGTATTCAAACCCAAGTTCTTTGTGTTGTTCTCGCGTGTCTGCTCGTCCTCTATAACTTTCTGTAAGGGTGTGCGTGTGATATATTGCATCGTGTGAGACTGTTTCGAGCATCAGTCCTGTGTTTGAGAATAAACGGTGCATTGTGGTGGGAATGAGCGTCACTACTGTCTTCTAATCCCTAAAGTTTTCTCGGAATTTTGCGCGTCTGTGTCGGTGATTGCTTAACGCATTCGCGTTTCTTGGAGATTACAGTTCGCATCATTTTTGGCATCTACGCCAGTGTTGATTGTCGCATTCTCACACAACGTTACTGTATAGCACTGGCGGAACTAAGTCTGACACTAAAACGCAGCTGCCACGTAGCCAAATTAGTGCAAAGCATCGGAGCATGACGGTCATACTGCGCTTCATTCTAGTGGAGCATTTTATTCCATTAATACGATGCTGAAAATGTGGGATTAGGCACCTGTTTTGTAAGCGACCAAACGAAAGGCCTATGGACTGAGTACTCGGTCATCGGCTCCCAGTGGGCGCGATTCCCTGAATTCGTTCCACTGTTTTGCGAGTAAACTTTTCAGCCAAATACTCGGAGTGGTGTCCCCTAAGGCAACTTTTTATCTCGGCTCGGTCAACCGGGTAGTATCTCGCCCGCTGATAGAACCATGGAATTCGTAACTACTACCACTACGCCGTTCTCTTTCGCTCCTCACTGCTTACGTATCTTCATCAAACGCCAATCCTAGATTCGCCAATAATTCCTTTTACTCTACCTCTGATGACACTCACGCCCATGTCTAGAGTCCGACCGGTGACCCTCCTTCATCCTCGATCACTTTCGTCTAACTGCCTTCATTGTTATAACCCTTATGCAGATCTGATAACAGACCGGCCTAGCGCTCACCCTGGACTCCCTCGCAATGTTTGCCCGTTGCCTGAGAGTCGATTACATGACACCTGTACCCTAGTTAAGTTCACCTCCCCTGCTGATCTCCAGACCAACTATTCCCTGCATTTGTCTGGTAACACAGAAACTGCTGCAGCTGGCGTGGCTGGCGTTCGCATGGTATTGAGGGCAAAGCTGAGGCCTCGCTGTTCGCTTGGTTCCCGATCGACAGCCGATTATGTGCGGTTCAACTTCAATGCTCACTCAGGATCAATAGGCAACGTACAATATGTTTGTGATTTCCGCCTATGCTCCAACTAACTGCAGTTGTGCTCCGGTTTAGAACAGTTTTTATCGCGGTCTCCACCAGCTTTTGAGTAAAGTCGAAAAATCCGATGTAGTCTTCCTTATCAGAGACTTCAGTGCACGGATCGGTTGAATGCTGTCATGCGATATGTTAGAGTCTTCCCACTTGTTCCGATTCCGAAATATGCGCCTAACGATTCCACAAAACCTCTAGCCCAATCGAGGGATAAATCAGAAGGCAAATGACCTTAATAAAGTAACGCGTTAACCGCCGCCAAAAGTACACTACAAATGAAGCAGACTGCTCCTATTTATAATTCACTTAATGACCTTTGACTTAGGGAATAGAAAGATCAGCTGTCAAAATTAGCAGTGCCATACCGGTCCAACCAATCTTCAGGGGGTTGGGAGTGACGTGCAAGCCTTGGAACATTCTGGAGTGTTCGGAATCGATGCGATACCCGAGAACAATCATTGTCGCTGAAACAATGGTTTTTCCCTGTAGTTCTGGCATTTTTCTGGACACCTCTCCTGAGTTGTTGTCTTCGGTGTATGATGAAAGCTTGGGATTGATTTGCAGCCTCCTAGACGGTGTTCTATGTCTGCCAGTTCATCACCTCGGTTGAAGTGCTCGGGAAGCTCAGGGTTCCTTGTCCGACTGCCAGCAGTCGTCCAAGTGATCGTTTGGCAAGTTGAAAATTTCCGCAAACAAGTCAAAGGAGACCGACAGGCTTTGATTCTCCGCAGCTGGTTTGCATGGCAAGCCCGGATCTGCGTTCCCACACTCACGTCATAAATGGCATTCCAGCTGTTGTTTTTGACCGTGCCGGGCGTTCGCTGCGTGGTCTTCCCGATAGTCACGTACTACCACTGCCTATTCTGGTATGGATGGTCGTTACTTTGCTCCGTATTGCTTTTTAAAATCCTTTATCATCCTGCGGTTCATTTCAACAACAGAGGGCTCTGAACGCCTTCGAAGGGCATACGGAGCTTTCTGTTCATAATAACCTGTTGGCGAAACTCCATCCGGCACTTCTCGTGAGTTCGGTGTGGATCGGTAAAGGAAAAGGAACCGGTCAATCACCTCCATACGTTCTTCTCCTTTTGATTTGAGGGGAACTCGCTTGAACCTATCCACGCACCTCTGCATGGCCATTCGACTGTGGGTGAAACGGCGGTGAGCGAATGTGCTGCACGACGCACTACTTACAGAACTATCTGAATGTTACCGAAGTGAATTGCGAGCCGTTGTCAGTTACACTTGTCTATGGACAGCCGAACTTACTGCAGATTTAGCGCAGTCTTGATACAGTATCATTGGATTTTTATGCTATCCATGAGAAACGCTTCAGGCCACTTGCCGTAGGATTCGAAGTCGACTTGGATACGGCACCATGGCTCCATGGGTTTTATCCATGAATGGAACCGCTTTTTGTGACTCTTTTAGGTCGTTGGCACACTTTTGGCAGCTTTTAGCCTATTTTTCTAGTTGTTCGTCCATGAAAGACTAGTACAGTCGCTGCGAGCAAGCACCTTCATCCGGTTGATCATAGGATACCTGTCATAGAACTGTCGAAATACACGCTTTCGTAGGGTCTTGGAGATGACGGTTCCTTACGAAAATAGTAGGCTGTCGTTCACAATAGCGAGTGAATATCTCCTCTCATAGTACTGCTGCAACTAGAGTAATAAACATGAGAAAGGCTAACTTGTTCTGTGGAACGGTGTGACCTTGAGTACCATGCCCTGTAGCGTTTCGGTTCGTACAGCTTTTGCAGCAGCTGGTAGTTCGTGCATTGCGTCCCCCACCAGCTGGTAGACATCAGGTCGATTTCGACGGAGACTATGACTGTGTCCTCATGATCCTACAAATGGGTATCGATTAGGCGTGACAGCACATCTGATTAGCCTATGGAAAATGTTAGTTCATATTAGATCTCGAAGTTGCGACCCATTAGAATGAGACCCCATGATTGTAGTCGGTTGGCTGTGTAGGCTGTGATGCCCTATTTGAACCAAAGATAGCCAGCAACGGCTTATGATCCGTCGAAAGCTTGAAGCGGCGGACGTACAGCATTTGTGGAATTTATTCACAGCAAACACTACGGCCGATGCTTTTTTCTCGATCTGACTCTAATTTCTTTCGACCTTTGTTAGTGTCCTTATGGCATGGACGATTGCTTTATAAGATCCGTTTGGGTATGTGTGTGATATTATTGTATCGATTCCACGGCTTGATGCATCTTTGGCAAGAACAATCTCTCTGGAGGGATCAAAGTGAGTCAAAATCAGGCTTAAGACCAGCAATGACTCTCGAAGGTTTCCTGTTATTCTAACTTCTAGTTCCACCTTTGGCTTGTACACGGGGCACCTAGGCAACGCATCTTAGACATAAATACGCTGTAGTGACTAATGAGACCACAAAATAGCCTTATAATTGTAGATTTGTTGGCGGAGACATTTTCCTTATGACTTCTATGTTCGCTGGGTCCATCCGACGTCCTCTTTTCAAGGATAAAACCGAGGTATTTGATGGTCCACTTGAAAAACAACTAATTTGTCTTCACGGATCCGGAAATCATACGACTACCTACAACCAAGCACTGCATCCCACCAGTTACATAGCTCTTTCGATGTTCGCCCCCTCACTATGATATCATCCAGATATGCAGCGGCTCAAAATACTCCCGCGAGCATTGTATCCATAAATTGTTGGAAAATCGCTGGTGCCGTTTTCACACTAAAAGGCAGGCGGTTGCGCTGGAACAGTCCACAAGTGTTTATCGTCAGCAACTCTCTCGAATCTTCGGCAACATCCACCTAGAGGTAGGCATCGGGCAGATCATGCTGACAAACTACTTACCACCATTCGATTTTACAAAGGTATATTGTAGCGACAAGACAACGCGGCAATGAAGCACGATCTTTATTGGCGCGACCACACACACACTACCTCACCACTCACAAGGGCACACATTAATAGGTCAGGTTTCTTTCCCACGTTGCACCATCCTTCCTGGCCTCCGCTCGTGACACTTCTATGCTCCTTCTGGGGAACGGGAACGCCTCTTCTATGTCCGTTTCGCCCGTGTATCTTCGCTTCCACGCCTCCGATTCTGACAATCCCGGAGTCGTTCGATAGCGTGCGCTTTGCTTGACCGTGGGTGTATCACTCTCCCCGGTGTTGTCCCTTGAACATGCGAGCGCCTTCAACAAATTCCCCACATGCTTTGCCTGCCTGGGGCTCACCCAAAGAGGCCGCTCCTCTCCCGTTTCCACACCGTTCAACTGAGCGTGTGTTTCTCCAGCAAATTGCCCCCATTGCATCGGTCTCTCTATTTGTCCGCCTCCGATTTAATGGTCTCACCGTCCTTTGGGCAAAAGCTGCCTTCCGCCTTCCTACAATATACGACTGATGGTCGTCAAGCACAGCGTTACGACCAGATGAGAAATTAACACAGCTACGTACCTTGCCATTCGCTTTCTTCACTTCGACACTTGGTGCCGTCCATGAGGAGTGGTTGTCAATTGTGATGACGCCGGCTGGTTCTAGTCAATCGAGTACTTGACCAGCACTTGTGATGGCTGCCTACGTTACGGGTATTTTAGATTTAAAGACTAGCTTGGCTCCTGGGCACAGGCACAGCGTTGCCTTGAATTTTGTGCATTGACCTACGCCATCCTGAAACAGGTGAATTTTTGATTTGGTGACTGCGCCATGTCTTCGACGACTCGTTGATGAATCTGAATTTGCTCGGACTTGATACAGGTATGATTCATCGGAACATCAAGGAGTCGCAACTTTTCAATCCAGCCAAATCTAAGGAGGTACAAATTCTGACGGCCTGTAATGTAACGCATTCCTGTCTGTTCCATACCATTGAATGCAGTTTTGCAGATCATTTCTCTGACTGAATTTAACATACCACCAGATGTTTTGTGAGACTTGACGATCTTCGGTCTTTTTATGTGTTCGTGAAATGATAGTAATGTTTGAGGCCGTGTCTAACTGCAGCTTCGTTGGGATTCCATTGATCAACACGATGATGAACCGCCGTCGCAGTTTAGACTCACTTTG